TCTTTCTTTCTTTCTTTCTTTCTTTCTTTCTTTCTTTCTTTCTTTCTTTCTTTCTGTTTTTCTTCTTCCTGTCTTGTCTTTCATACTTTCCTTTCCCCTTTCTTACCTTTCTTCGTCATTGTTGTGTTCTCTGTGTGTCGTCACCATGGCCTGTGTGTGTGTGTCGTCACCATGGCCTGTGTGTGTGTGTCGTCACCATGGCCTGTGTGTGTGTGTCGTCACCATGGCCTGTGTGTGTGTGTCGTCACCATGGCCTGTGTGTGTGTGTCGTCACCATGGCCTGTGTGTGTCGTCACCGTGGCCTGTGTGTGTCGTCACCGTGGCCTGTGTGTGTCGTCACCATGGCCTGTGTGTGTCGTCATTGCTCTCTTGTCTTTGGCTTTTCTTCTCTCGGATTTTCGCTTTTGTTTTAGTTCTCTTTCTTACTTTTGTTTTCTTTCATTTGAGTCCCTTTCCTGTCTGTTAGTTGGGTTTTGTGTGCTTTTTTGTGTTTTTAAATGGTGGGTGCTTCTCCGTTCCTAAAAAAAAATAGGATGAAAATGGTCGTCCTTATCTCTCGCCCTTCTCTTTTTTGTGTGTTTGTTACTCACTCTCTACTGTTGTAACATCCGTTATCTTTGGCTCTTATACTGATATATTCTATGACTTAATTGTGTGGCAAGTGCCGTAAATATCTTCCTAAAACTTAACAACTTCTGTTCTGTTGTGTGATAAGTAGGGGAGTGACATTGCTTTGGCAGTTCGGAACAGGCTGGGTTGTAAAGGATGACATTTCTACGACCAATGTGAAGACTTCGGATTCGGATTCGGAAAGCCGTTTCCACGACCAGTGTAAAGAGGTAGGAATGAGACAGGAATTACATCTGTGGCCTGTAACAAATGGTCGGATTTATACAGGACATTCTGAAGAGGTCGGATTTGTAAAGGAATAGCATTACGGTGACCTGTCTGAAACGGTCGGATCTGTGTATATTGACAATGTAAAGAGGTCGGATTTGCAAAGCAAAGACATTACTATGACCCATCTGAAGAGGTCGGATTTGCAAAGCAAAGACATTACTATGACCCATCTGAAGAGGTCGGATTTGCAAAGCAAAGACATTACTATGACCCATCTGAAGAGGTCGGATTTGCAAAGCAAAGACATTACTATGACCCATCTGAAGAGGTCGGATTTGTAAAGCAAAGACATTACTATGACCCATCTGAAGAGGTCGGATTTGCAAAGCAAAGACATTACTATGACCCATCAGAAGAGGTCGGATTTGTAAAGCAAAGACATTACTATGACCCATCTGAAGAGGTCGGATTTGCAAAGCAAAGACATTACTATGACCCATCAGAAGAGGTCGGATTTGCAAAGCAAAGACATTACTATGACCCATCTGAAGAGGTCGGATTTGTAAAGCAAAGACATTACTATGACCCATCTGAAGAGGTCGGATTTGTATTGGACGATGCTTGTTGTACAGAGGTCGGATTTGTAGAGGTCGGATTCCCGAAGTAAATACCTTGCTGTGACCAGTGAGTGGAAGTGACATCTGTAAAGGATATACCACATGACAGTGACGTGTCAGTGACAATGGCATGACATACGACATGACGTAACATGGCAATGACTGACAGTGATATGGCAACATCATGACTATGACATGACAATGACCAATCGGAAGAGGTCATCCTCCAACGGACGCCTGCACATGCGCAGAACGACCAGGGGCCAGACTCCCGAGTTTTCGTGTTTCCCAGGATGCATCTTCTTCTCCACGGCTGCGGACTCTCGCAGGTGAATATTGGTTGTACCGGGTGACCTCTGCGGGCGGGTCGGGTCGGGTCGGGTCGGGTCGGGCCGATCGCCCGATTCGTCGTCTGAGGTGAATGTTGAACCCTGTCGACGTCAGCGGATAACCGTCTATGTGTCTGTGTGCGTGTATGTTACACTCTGGTGAATGTTGATTATGGTCGACGTCTGACTCAAACCGTGTATGACTTTGTTTTGATGTAGATGTGCGGGTATGTGTTTGTTGTGTTGGTTCGTCTGATGGAAGAGAAGCACATCGAATCAAAAATGGCCATTTCGTGCTTTAAAAAACTACATACTTACTTGCTTGCTTGCTTGCTTGCTTGCTTGCTTACTTACTTATTTACTTGCTTACTTACTTACTTACTTACTTACTTGCTTGCTTGCTTGCTTGCTTGCTTGCTTGCTTGCTTGCTGGCTGGCTGGCTGGCTGGCTGGCTGGCTGGCTTACTTACTTACTTACTTACTTACTTACTTACTTACTTGCTTACTTGCTTGCTTACTGGGTTGGAGAATACGCATCATTGCAGGTGGCACAATGCCATAGCTGCTCCTCCCTCCTCTCCAGGATCCATGAAAGGGTCTGCTTGCTGATCGTGCCAGTTATCAGCTGGTTGGATATTCTTATTAAAAAGGGAAAGTAAAGATTTAGGACATACAAGTGGCGCCCTCCAACAAGTAACCCCCGGTTTTGGGTTCAACGCCCCTGTCTGTAGGCCCACTATTGTCATGACGTGGTGGAATCAGGCGCTCGTCAATTTGGGGGCATATAGAGTAAATTATTAATATATCTTGTTATTAAAGCTTGTTCATATTTTGTTTTGCTTTCAATGAAAAAAAATCCATTTATCTCGGGTACAGTCGAGACATTGGCGATTGAAGGAGGTATAAAGGGGCACCTTGTTTAAGGGGTCAAATTTGGAATGAATATGGCCGCCAAAGGTTAAATATTTCCTTAGCTTGGGAGTCCGTGGAAACTAAACATTACAATTTGTGTGCCTTTATTCAACGTTTTTCAGTAAAATCCACACAGAAATGTGTTCTTTAGTGGACATGAAAGGTGTTGAGCTAAAAAAAAAAAAAAATTCGATAAAAATTCCCAAAACCTGCGGGAAAATGCCAATTTCTTCACTTTGATTATTTTGACGAGCGCCTGATTTCATCACGCTGATGTTATTAAAGCCTGTTCATTCGTCTTGCATTTGGCGAAAATAAAATGATTGAAAGGAGCGTCTGGTTTCCCCCTCGCTGCCACACGATTTATTGTCCAAAAAAAGACATGGCTTGCCGATCTGTTGGTGGGGCTGGATGTTGTGTGGCTTGTTGTTGGCTTGGTGCGAGATCGATAACCAATCAGTCGTTGGAAGGAAAGAAGGAAAGACAAGAAAAGTAATTATTACGTCTGTTTGATTACGATGATTTTTGTAGCAGTTTGTTTACAACTTTTATACCTTCATCAAAGGCGCGAGAAATGAAGAACTGTAGCTTTCTGGTTTCCGGGGATACCCAAGCTATGGCAGTCACCAAACTTTGGCAGCCGTCTACTTAGTAGTCATTTTACCTGTCATACCACGACCCCCACCTCCTCCAATCACAAATATCTCCACTGCTCATAATAGATGGGTATATTTGTTCGCCAAATTTAAGTCAAATGAACAAGGTTAAGATGATATTAATAACTCTATACTGCCCTGAAATTCACGAGTGCCTGATTGCACCTCGTCGGGACACATTGGAATTGAAGGAACGCCTCATTTCTCCCGCGCTATCGCACGATTTATTGCACACACAAGAACAAAAACGATCTGTTGGTGGGGCTGGATGTTGTGTGGCTTGTTGTTGACTCGGTGCGGGATCGATAACCAATCAATTGTTGGAAGGAAAAAAAGGAAAGACAAGAAAAGTAATTATTGTGTCTGTTTGATTACGATTATTATATGTATAGTGGTTTGTTCACGGAGTGTTTGTGTGTGTGTGTGGGGGGGGGTGTTTATGTGTGTGTGGGGGGGTGTTTGTGTGTGTGTGTGTGTGTGTGTTGGGTGGGTTGGGGGGGGGGGGTGTTTTTTTTGTGTGGGGGTGGGGGGGGGGGAGTATTAATGTGTGCGTGTTTGGGGTGTGGTGTGAGTGTATGTGTTTGCAGGCACATGGGATTGACCAGAGAGAGATAGAGAGAGAGAGTCTGTGTTTTTATAGTGTGTGTGTGTGTGTGCGTGCGTGCGTGCGTGTGTGCGTGTGTATGTACGTATATGTGTGTGTGTGTGTGCGTGTGTGGGTGGTTGGCGGGTGCTCTGGTGTTGTGTGCTCCTTTTTTCCTATCCTTATATAAATCTCGCCTCTTTTTTGTGTTTGTTACTCTCTTGTAACACCTCTAATCTTCGGCACTTATATATAACCTAATTGTGTTACAAGTGTCATGCGTAAAATTCTCACTAAAACAAAACAAAACAACAAAAAAACCCTCAAAAGAAGCGAGTGGCTGGAGGGCGCCACTGGTAGACTCTATGTCTTTTCTCACCCTCTGCTGTTGTCCTGTTTGACTTGCTTTTTCCCAGCTTTAAATGGCCATTTTCGTATCGATGTGCTTCTCTTTACTCAAACAAACGAACAAACAAACAAAGAAATAAACTAACAGACAAACAAACAAACAAACAAAGAGACAAACAAACAGGATATTTCCGGCAATGAAAAACAACATTGTGAATCTGTACCAGGAAGTGTGACCCAAGTACCATGAGTGAGCAGTGCGACTTGCTTATAGAATATTATTACTCCCATAAGTTCAATTTTGACATTCGATACACCTCTTCAAAAATGTTTTGTTTGTCACAATTATTATTTGATCTACGTTTTCCCCTTTTCCCTTCAATGTTTCTAGTTAGGAGAAGGATGCTCAAGGCTTCAATGTTTCTAGTTAGGAGAAGGATGCTCAAGGCTTCTGCGGACCAAAGATGTAGATTATATATCAAAATTAAATTTGTTTCATCATTCTTTTTTCTCAGGGACAAACGAGACAAGCTGAATGTTGAGGATTTCATCATTGATGGCAAGAAAGGAGAGACGGTGGTCAAACATGCGGGATCGGTGAACGGTGAACAGATTGTGGTTCAGAACTGTGAGGTCAGTGGCTGGCTCCCGTCTGCCTGCTTCAGTTTGGCAAATCTGGTTTTATTTCATGTATCTGAGTTTTTTGTTGTTGTGGACAAATCAACATATGCTTTTAACCTTTATATAAAAGTCACAAAGTGGGTTATTGGCGGGTACTCTGGTGTGCTGTACTCCTTTGTTCCTGTCAACCACTTTTGTCCTCTTTTTTCATCCCTGTCTTGTTTGTGTTTGTTCCTCTCTGGTGAGACCTCTTAGTCTTCGCCACTGATATGACCTAATTGTGTTGCAAGTGCCAGAAAGTGCATAGTAAACTAAAACAAAAAAAACATCCAAAAACTTATGAGATAAATGCAATCCTGGCAAAACATTTTGCCTTTGTTTTAAATTCATGATGGTGTTAATTGGTGCCCTTCAGCCTTTTACAGGTTCTGGAAATACTTTGGGGATCTGGGCTGCTGGTGTGTATTCCGATGTGATTTGCTCTTTCTGTTTTTCTTTTTGTTATTGGTTGTTGTTTTTTTTTTGGGGGGGGGGGGGTTTGGGGGGAGGATTATTTAAAAAAAAATTATTTTGTTTGTTTTGCTTTTTCAGCAGTGCTGTTCTTGTAATGTGCTTTCAGGTAAAATGTGGTGGTTTTAGTACCGGTTAACGTAACCTTCCTCCGAGTAGTACCGACGGCATGATGTCTGTGTTGGCAGCTAAGTGTTGAGTTTTTTTCTTCTGTTCCCCTCTGTACAGGACTGCAACATCTATGTGTTTGACCACATAGCTACGGTCAGTGTGGACGACTGCGTCAACTGTAACATTTTCCTCGGCCCGATAAAGTCCAGGTAAAATATCACTACCCTTCCTATCAAGTCCAGATAAAACATCACTACCCTTTTTGTGTAGAGGTTGACCCTTACAATCGTGAGCCTATTTTTTGCTTTGTCACGGCAAGTTTTGTGTAGAATATGTGAAGGTTGCTTATAAAATGAGTTACTTCTCAGAACCGAGACCTTCGGAAATAGGTACGTCACGCTTATAAATGATTCATAAGTATAAAATAATAAAAGGCTTGTCATGTTAAAGAATATGGCATCAATAGAAAATCTATAATTTTAACCCTAGTGTCGATTTTTGGCCAATATCGCCATTTGTGGATTGTGAGAATTAACTCATTTTGTCAGCACGCCTTACAAATGTTAGCATTTGCAGTACACTTCAACAGATTTGAAAGTATTCCCACTTGAATAGACAGAAAGGCCTTGAACATCTCGCTGTCACTGGCAAAACTGGGATAAAGGAGATAAAGAGCTAAACAGGTGGAAAGATATCAGTTTCTTGTATAATGTCATTGTTTTGACGAGCGCTTTATTTCAACATCATAATCGTCATCCAGTGTCAGATCTGTGACAGACATCGGCGATCATTGTTCTCCATTCATTCCTTTACTCGGATGCTCTTCAAAAAGCTACGTTTCCCTGATCTTTCCATGTTACCCATTTGTTTTGGTTTCCTAAGTTGGTTTCTCTGGGCCTACCCCTGCCTCGTTTGCCTTCAATGTTGCCAGTGAGAGCTAGATGTTCAAGACCTTTATGTCTATTCAGGTGTCCCAAAAACTACATTTGTCATTTCTCCGTAATGCCTCACAATTCGCTGGAATTTTCTCCCCAGTGTTTTTGTCCGCGACTGCAAGCAGTGTAGACTAGTGGTGGCGTGCCAGCAGTTTAGGACGCGCGACTGTTTTCAGATCGACACGTTCCTGTTGTGTGGGACGCAGCCAATCATAGAGTCCTCCAGCAGGATGAAGTTTGCCTGTTACAGATACGCTTACGAACAACTAGACAGTAAGTTTGCCTGTTACAGATACATGTACCAACAACTAGACAGTAAGTTTGTCTGTTACAGATACATGTACCAACAACTAGACAGTAAGTTTGCCAGTTACAGATACATGTACCAACAACTAGACAGTAAGTTTGCCAGTTACAGATACATGTACCAACAACTAGACAGTAAGTTTGCCAGTTACAGATACGTGTATGAACAACTATAGTGCGATCAGAAATTTGTGGCGCTACTTATTATCAAATATCTCCTCAATTTTTTAACATAAACTCTCCAGCTTTTGCACAGTGACTTATATCAATTTGTCTTAACAGATCAATATTAAAATTTGTGTAAAGACCTGTTAGCTCCGTTTGAGAAAATTCCTTAAAAAATACTAATAAGAAATCTTAGTGGGTGGTTTCTACTGATGTTAAAAAGTTTACAGCTGGGACGATATCGCTTTTAAAAACAAGTCCATCAATTTTTTCTAATTGCAAGATTATCATTATTGAACGCATGCTTTGAGAACTTTTAGAGCAAAAAATGTTCACTATAAAATTAATTTCTTGTAACAAGTTTTGCCACTAAAAAGTGTCATAGGTGAGCTGTGACGTAGGCCATATGTGTATACACAATGTGTGTGAGAAGCGGGAAGTGCTGTTAACAATTCCATTTTCCGTGTGAAGGAGGTTTCTAGTATTTTATATAAATTTATGAAGAAAAGTTTTTTCATCTAGCCTCTATTGTTTTTTAAAAATATGATTAAGTTAAGACAAATTGAGACAAACTGCTGTGCAAAGTATGGGTGACATTGATTCTCCCGTTATAAAGATATTTGAGGATAAGTTGCGCCACGAATTTTTTACCGCTTTATATACAGTAAGTTTGCCTGTTACAGATACACGTACAAACAACTAGACAGTAAGTTTGCCTGTTACAGATACACGTACCAACAACTAGAAAGTAAGTTTGTCTGTTACAGATACATGTACCAACAACTAGACAGTAAGTTTGCCTGTTACAGATACACGTACGAACAACTAGACAGTACGTACATAAGGAAAAACATGTTGTTTATGTGTTTGTGTCTGTGGCCAGGTCAGTTCAAGAAGGCGGGTCTGAGCGTGTACAACAACAACTGGTCCAACATCCACGACTTCACACCGGTCCCGGGGGAGGACGCAAACTTCTCCTTCCTCCCGCTGGTAGGTGGCGCCGCCCGTGTCTCCTTCCTCCTTTGTCCAGGTTTGCCAGGGGAGGGAATTAGCTGAACCGTAGGAGCAACTTGATGGAGACGGAACTAGAACATGCTCACCAAATGTGAAGGGTGCTTACAGAATGAGTTACTTCTCAGAATCGAGACCTATGGAAATAGATACGTCACGCTTATAGGTGAAGTTTGTACGATGTATAAGTATAAAATATTAAAAGGCTTGTTATACTCAAAGAATATATGGCATCAATAGAAAATATACAAATTTGACCCTTGTGTCGATTTTTGGCCGATATCTCCGTTTGTGGATTGCGAGAAGTATCTCATTTTGTCAGTTCCCTTCACAAATATACCACAACAAGTTGGAATCAGGTGCTTGTCAGTACTTTGGACATGTGGCATTATTGGTGTCGCTTTTTCATTTGTCTGGCTTTTGATGGAAGAAACACCCATCTGTCAGGATAGAACTCAAAATGTTCTCGGTTGAAGGAGGTGAGGGTCTCCTGGTGTCAAATGTAGAATTAGTGAGAAAACGGTCACGGCAGTCTGGTGACTTTCAAAGCTTGAGAGTTCTCGGAAACTGAAAATTTACTTTTTTGTTGTTGCCTTTCTTCTGTGTTTTTCTGTAAATTCCGTACAGTAAAATTTTTTAATGGACATAACAAGAACAGATGTTGAGCCAAAAACAAACAGTTATGGTTAAAAATTACCCACAGGATGGAAAAATGTCTGTTTCTTCGATTTTATTATTGTTGCTAGTGCCGTAAAATTCTCGGTAAAACTTCCACTAAAGCAAAGAGCAGACTGTAGGACAAGTGCTAAAACTTCCACTAAAGCTAAGAGCAGACTGTAGGACAAGAGTAGGAGTTGTGCTGAGTTGTGTTCGGAACATTCCCAGGATGCCAAGGTGGAAGACTTTGTGCCGGTCCCCCAAGGTGAGGAGTTGGAGACCATGAAGATCTCCGTGAGTGAGGAGCTCAGCTTTGTGCCGCAGACCTGGGGCAAGAGGAGAAAACCCAGCCACGAGGTCGGTCATCTGTGTGTGTGCCGGACGTCTGTGCGTGCCGGACGACTGTCTCTGTGTGTGTGTCGGACGTCTGTCTATGTGTGTGTGTGTCTGTCATCTGTCTATCACCAGGGTGATTGACGGGTGCCTTGCTGTGGTTTACTGGTGCTCTGGCTCTGGGGGAGGGATTTGCTTTTTCTCTGCTACCAAAAATCTATCGTCCAAATATCTCTTCCTTCTTGTCTTTATAGGTGACTCTCTAGTAGTAACATCTTGAATTTTCACAACCTACATATGTCCTTTTTGTGCTGCAAGGGCAGACCTTATTCTACTGGCCAGTCATCATCATCATTATCATCATCATCATCATCATCATCATCATCATCATATTTGATGAGTATTTTTTCCCATCCAAATATAGTTTTCTCATCACTATCACCTATTCTAACCCTTGTAATGCAAACTTATGTTCAACATTCATCCTTGTTCCATGCCTCAATGTATTCCCTGCTCAATTTCCTTCCTTTTCATCTGTCACATGTTACCTGTTGAGCGATGGTTCTGCTTTTATTAGGCTGTTTTGTACACCACCTGTGTTGCCAAATCCAGCCAAAAATTAATTATGTTTAAATCTCCCAAGCACTACGGCCAGAAAGAGTTAAGAAATGTAAATCTGTCCTACATTTCTGGCTGTCTGTCCTACATTTCAGTCATGTCTGGTTGTGTTTTTCAACGACGGAGGTTCATCAGACCGAGCAGCCAAGTTCCTACACATGATGCGTTCACAGCATGTAAGTACACTCACCTGTGTGAGACAATCACCGGTACAAACGGCCACCTGTACAAGACAATCACCGGTACAAACGGCCACCTGTATAAAACAATCACCGGTACAAACGGCCACCTGTACAAGACAATCACCGGTACAAACGGCCACCTGTATAAAACAATCACCTGTATAAACGGCCACCTCTATAAGACAATCACCTGTACAAACGACCACCTTATAAGACAATCACCTGTACAAACGGCCACCTGTACAAGACAATTACCAGTACAAACGGCCACCCCTCTGCTAAAACAAAAAAGCCTTACATAACTAAAACTAGAAGAGAGGGTGTGTCAGAGAATATGTGTGTATATGGAGGTTATCTCTGGCAGAATGTACGTCTTCTCTTTTCCCTTGTTTTGTCTATCTCTTTTTCTGCCTGGTTTGAATTACCTTTATTGTGTCGATGTGGACCTTTTTTTACTCCAACTATAAATCCAACAAATACAAGGCATTACTTCTCGCAATCCACAAATGGATATGTTGGCCAAAAATCGACATTAGGGCCAAATACGTAGATTTTCTATTGATGCCATATTCTTTAACTGTAACCCATCTTTTATTATCTCATTGTTTTAAATTGTAAAAACTTCACCAGTAACCGTGATGTATCTGTTTGCTTAAGGCTTGAATCCGAGAAGTAACTCATTTTGTCAGCACACTTCACAAATCTATAATCCTCCCCACCTCCTCCTCCCTCCCACCTCCTCCCCCTTCCTCCCAGCCCCAGTGTGTCTTGATTCAGTCCAAAGAGGTGTCGATGGAGCCCGACAACTCACGGCGGGTCTTCGCCTCCGACTCGTATGCGAACGCCGTCCTTCAAGGTGAGTCTGTGGCCTACCTCCATCTTCTGCCTACAGGTGGAACTGTGACATCACTACCTCCATCTTCTGCCTACAGGTGGAACTGTGACATCGCTACCTCAGTCTATTGTCACAAATTTACGTCTTACTTGTTTCCAGTTGTAACCATGTATCCACCAGACAAGATCGAACATTTGTTAAAATGTGTCATGACCTGGTGGAATTGGGCGCTTGTCAATTTTTGAGCATATGGGGTTATTGGTACCTTCTTAAAGCCTCCAAAAAAAAGAAAGAAAGAAAGAAAGAAAATTTGAAAAAAATTTCCCATCGACCAATAAAATGCAGATTTCTTTGATTTCCTGATTTTGACGAGCGCCTGATTTCACCGCGATGCCTCACATTTTGTTTTCTCCATTGTCCAGGTCCAGTGATTGGCCTTGAGATGAACGGGGAGGGCAGCGTCGCGATCTGCCAGGCGGTGGTCCTAGATCTGATGAAGGGAACCACGGGACTCGTCTTCTCCAGCCAGTCCCCGCAGTCGGCCGAGGAGCAGATCGAAGCTTTCTACAACTTTGCTGACATGCAGATGGGAATCTAGGCTCCTCCGCTGGAGGGAAAAGATTTTATACAATGGACAAATGAAAACAACAACAACCACAACAACTACAATCACAACAACAACAACCGCAACGACAACAACCGCAACAACGACAACAACAACAACAGAGCTCTTTATCCATGTACGGGATTGTGCAACACAGGTGTTGTTGACAGTTGACTGTTGGTGGAGTGGTTGTTGACAGTTGACTGTTGGTGGAGTGGTTGTTGACAGTTGACTGTTGGTTGAGGTTGTTGGAAGAGAAAAGAGAAAGAAAATATGGTGGCCTGAGTAGCCTACAAGAACCCTGTAACCCACACTCTGTCAAAAAACCACCTTTTTTGCTTTTTACTTCTAAATGTAACGTTGCGGATTTTATGTCAAATTGTTTGACATGCAGCTTAATAAGCATCGCCAGTTCAACATTCCGACTTTAAATTTTACCGAACTTTGTTAGATGAATTGACAACGTTTTTTCCTTCTCCGGTAAAATTTGGTTTTTGTGGGATACAGGCTTGTGGTACCCGGGCGATGAGATGGTGTTTATGTTTGCCACGTTTGTCGGACATCATCAGCTGTTGTGTCATGTTGGTGAGTGTCTCGTCTCCACTGTCGGACATCATCAGCTGTTGTGTCATGTTGGTGAGTGTCTCGTCTCCACTGTCAGACATCATCAGCTGTTATATCTTACTGGTGAGTGTCTCGTCTCCACTGTCAGACATCATCAGCTGTTATATCTTACTGGTGAGTGTCTCGTCTCCACTGTCAGACATCATCAGCTGTTATATCTTACTGGTGAGTTTGTCGTCTCCACTGTCAGACATCATCAGCTGTTATATCTTACTGGTGAGTGTCTCATCTCCACTGTCAGACATCATCAGCTGTTATATCTTACTGGTGAGTGTCTCGTCTCCACTGTCAGACATCATCAGCTGTTATATCTTACTGGTGAGTGTCTCGTCTCCACTGTCAGACATCATCAGCTGTTTTGTCTTGTTGGTGAGTTTGTCGTCTCCACTGTCAGACATCATCAGCTGTTATATCTTACTGGTGAGTGTCTCGTCTCCACTGTCAGACATCATCAGCTGTTATATCTTACTGGTGAGTGTCTCGTCTCCACTGTCAGACATCATCAGCTGTTATATCTTACTGGTGAGTGTCTCGTCTCCACTGTCAGACATCATCAGCTGTTTTGTCTTGTTGGTGAGTGTCTCGTCTCCACTGTCAGACATCATCAGCTGTTATATCTTACTGGTGAGTGTCTTGTTGGTGAGTTTGTCGTCTCCACTGTCAGACATCATCAGCTGTTATATCTTACTGGTGAGTGTCTTGTTGGTGAGTTTGTCGTCTCCACTGTCAGACATCATCAGCTGTTATATCTTACTGGTGAGTGTCTTGTTGGTGAGTTTGTCGTCTCCACTGTCAGACATCATCAGCTGTTTTGCCTTGTTGGTGAGTTTGTCGTCTCCACTGTCAGACATCATCAGCTGTTTTGTCTTGTTGGTGAGTGTCTCGTCTCCACTGTCAGACATCATCAGCTGTTATATCTTACTGGTGAGTGTCTTGTTGGTGAGTTTGTCGTCTCCACTGTCAGACATCATCAGCTGTTATATCTTACTGGTGAGTGTCTTGTTGGTGAGTTTGTCGTCTCCACTGTCAGACATCATCAGCTGTTTTGTCTTGTTGGTGAGTTTGTCGTCTCCACTGTCAGACATCATCAGCTGTTATATCTTACTGGTGAGTGTCTTGTTGGTGAGTGTCTTGTTGGTGAGTTTGTCGTCTCCACTGTCAGACATCATCAGCTGTTATATCTTACTGGTGAGTGTCTTGTTGGTGAGTGTCTTGTTGGTGAGTTTGTCGTCTCCACTGTCAGACATCATCAGCTGTTATATCTTACTGGTGAGTGTCTTGTTGGTGAGTGTCTTGTTGGTGAGTTTGTCATCTCCACTGTCAGAACAGAGGGCCATCAGGCGGGGCAGAAAACAGCTGAGATCTTTCCGGGATATTGCACGGACTTGGTTAGAGTCTAGATCTATTTTAAATGAGCAAGGAGCATTTTTTTGAAAGATTGTCGATGGCTACTAGTGTGGATGAGTCTGCCTTTGGAACAAAGTTTTTCATTGTTTGTTCTGTTGTTGTGGTGTTGGGGAAGCGGGGGTTGAGTGTGAGTTGTTGTGTTGTTGAGTGTGAGTTGTTGTGTTGTTGAGTGTGAGTTGTTGTGTGTTATTTAGGGCTGAATGAATTAATTATGCTGTAAAAGATTTCGTGATGGGTGGAACTTTTGTGAGTATTGTGTTACGACTTTCGTGTGGTGTGTAAACTGTTTCGAATGAAAACCTTTGTACATTAACTGTTTGGGAAGCTGGAATGGTTGTTATTATTTTTGTTATTATTACTATTATTATTATTATTATTGTTAGTATTAGTATTATTATTTGTGAGTGAGTGTTTATAATATTGTCTACCTTTTAATCTTGGCATTATTGTTTCCAAACTCATTATGGGACAAATTTTCTGATGGGAATGTTTGCATTTTTACAGAAAATAGAACTTTTCATCATGAACGCTATTATTTATATTTATTATTGTTGTTTTGGGGAGGCAAAATGTTTTGTTTTTCTTTGATTACACAAACATGAGGATATTGTTGACATAAAGAAATCCTAACTGTGGACACGTCAGGTTTTGGCCCACGGTAAAGAGAGACACCCGACAGGGAACTGACTCGCAGGGGACATCACAAAGTTCTCTTGTTGCCTCCGTCTCTGCTGTGTTGTGCTTGTTTTGCAGACGCTGCTTGGTTCTTCAGTTATTTATGAAAATGCTCTCTCATTTTTTTTCCTCGGTTAAGAAATTCAGGAGAGATTTACGACAAATGTGATCTGTAACGCTAACGTTTTGTGCTTCCTGTCTGCAGGTTTGTTGCTCCTAGATCTGATAATGTGTCTGTAACATTCTGTGTGCATTGCAGAAAGTTGGAGAAAAAATAGTTGTTTCAGGACGCTGAGGAATCAGGCGCTCGTCAATGTTAGGACATATTGAGTTATTGAGATCATTTTAAAGCCTGTCTATTTGCCTTGCTTTTGATGAAAAAAATATCAATTGAACTTTAACTCAAGTCAAGATATTGGCAATTGAAGGAGGTGGGGGTCGCCTAGTTTCCGAGGTAAATTAGCAAGAAAATGTTATTTTCTTAGCTTGAGAGTCCGTGGAAACTGAAAATTTACTTCTTTTATGCCTTTAATCAATGTTTTTCAGTAAAATCCACACAGAAATGTGTTCTTTAATGGGCATGAAAGGTGTTGAGCCAAAAAACTAAATTTTGATAACATTCCCAAACCAGCAGAAAAAAATGCCAGTTTGTTCACTTTGATTATTGTGACGAGCGCCTGATTCCACCGCGCTGCCGAACTTTTGTCTTTGATTATTGTGACGAGCGCCTGATTCCACCGCGCTGCCGAACTTTTGTCTTTGATTATTGTGACGAGCGCCTGATTCCACCACGCTGCCGACTGCCGAACTTTTCTCTTTGATTATTGTGACGAGCGCCTGATTCCACCACGCTGCCGACTGCCCAACTTTTCTCTCTGATTATTGTGACGAGCGCCTGATTCCACCACGCTGCCGACTGCCCAACTTTTCTCTTTGATATGGTCTGATATATTAAAGGGCGGCTTAATTTTTCTCCAGGGAGGGGCAAAACTGACCATTTTGACTTATTTTAAATCAATCCTCCGAAGTCAAACATGTTTGATTTTTCTATTCCCGATTGGGCCCATTTGATGAAGACAGCCAATCAGAAGGCTACTACGCATCGCAGTGTTAGGTCCTTTGTTTGTGTGTGGAATGTGATTCGCCCTAAAGGACTCCGGGGTCTCATTGGATGTGGCAAAGCACGGGTCAGTGTGATGTAAAGTGTGTGCCTTGTGAACTGGCCTAGACGTAGGCTTGGGCAGTGGTGAGAGCGTGTTTTTGATCATATCTTTCCCCGACACCAATCTACATCTCGCTGCTACTTTGGAAAATTCAGCTGCATAGTCCAAGCACCGTGTCTGAACTGATGGGGTTGTTTTTTCTGTATTACCAATGCAATGTGCTTATGTTATATCATCTACCAGTTTTTCTGATGTGCTGAGGCCAAAATTTGGAATTTTAACAAAATTGTAGTTTCATAGTCTGTTGTATTGGTTCCATGTGATGAAAAAATATTTTGTCCAAAATCAATTCTAAACATTGAAAAAGTTACAAAAAGATGTGTGATGTAGGTAGAAATGTTAGATAAATGAAAAGGTTTGTTTCCCTCTCCTGAAACATTTTGCTTTCGAGGCTTACTATATTGAAAGAGCTTAATGATGACAGAATTGTCTACATTTTGGTCTGTGGCTAAAGGATTTATTCACCTTGTGACATATAGGATTTGTGGCGCAAGAATTGTTATCTCACAACTTTAAGTTTTCTCTTTCCAGACCGGTTGTTTTTTCAAATTTGTTTTGTTTTAGCTCTTGTTTCCCCTTGGGATGTTTTTGTTGACACTGATGATTCTTTCCTTTTGTTTTTGTTCTTGTCCCAATTTTGTAATTGACAATCTTGACTTTCTTTTCTGTTTCTGGTCCTGACCTGTTGTTTACGGACCGCCCTGTCCCTATCTCTCTCATCTTTCGCTGAGAGGTCTGGCAATATTGTCTGGGGGTTTTTTGTTTCAACCTTCTGTGTGATCTCATTCTGAACCCCTGGATGTGCACCCATGTTTTGGGGTTGTTGGTTTTTTGTTTTGTTTTTTGGTTATCTTTAATAATTTATAGACTTTACAATGACATGCTAACGTTGAAAAGGAAATGGACTTTGATTGTTGCTGTATTTTTCTGATATTAATGTATTGATTGTGATTATTTATCTAGATGATTTCTAACAGGGCAAGTGACACAGAATCAGTTACATGGTTAAGTTAGGGGTTTGAACACGCCGTCCACCCTCCACTGAGGGCTCAACTCTGCCAGTATGGCACAACACATCACCACAAGTTGCTAAAACCGAACCAAATGATTGGCTATCGAGCTATGGAAATTACCAGACTTTGGCGGCCATTTTCTCACAAAATTCTGTCTTTGAAATCAGATGCCCCTATCTTCTTCAATCTCAAATATCTCTACTTTTATTCAAGATTGCTTGGTATTTTTTTCACCAATAGCAAGACAGCTGAACTACCTTGAAGATGTTTCCAATAACTCCAGATGCCCAAAAATTGACGAGCGTCTGATTCCACCACATGGTGACACAGTTATATGGTCGTTTTGAAGGACAAGCGGGCTAACCCAGATTTTGGGGGTTTCCAGAAATCTTGACCTACACCAAAAGTGGGCTTTGCCCTACCTATAGGAGAAGTTTGGTTTCAATGGTGTGTATATTTGTTTGGTTATAAAGAAAACTCTCCTTCGTCTTTTAAAGAAACTGAACAAGGGGCAAAAACTTTACCATCAATTTTCTCAAAAACAGCATTTTTCGGGATAGCCCGCTTGTGCTTAAAAGCGACCATAGAACGTTATAAGACAAGAATCCTGCCACCCTGTCTCAGCCCACCTTCCCCTCCCCCCTTCTCCCCCTCTCGCCCCCCTCCCACCTCCCCCCTTCTCCCAAGCCGTCCAACTCTTGCTTTTATTGTACAGCTTTTCTTTTTTGGTTGATCGAGCCTTTCGATCGACAGATATTTATAAATTGTGACCAGTAATTTATTCAGCTCGCACGTCATTGTACTGTGCAAACTTATATCTGCATCTTGCTATAAATACATCTATATAATATATTACATATATATCATTACATCCATTATATATTGTTCTGTTACATCAGTTTCATCCCAGTTCATGATTCATAAATTCTTCTTATTCTTTTTCTTTTTGAAATACCAAATTGAATGACAGTTCTCATGCTCAACGATTGTCTTCACTTCCTGTCTTGCCAGCCAGCACCTGTGGTGTAGTAGTTAGGTGTTTCGCTGTTGCACACAGGAGACCCCAGTTCCATCCTAGAGTGGGGAGGTTATGTGTGGAGTACAGTGCAGCCTCTCTACAACGACCTCCGATAAAACGACATCCACTGTATAGCGACTTTCCTCATCTTTACTATCATCATCATTTTTTCCTCTACTTCTTTTGTATGTTTGTCACTCTCTTGTGAACAGCTATTTCCGGGGTGCCTTGATAGTGGAAGCAGACTTTGTGCTATTGAGGCTAGAGAGGTGAGCAGAGTACTTTAGCCTGATTGCCTGTGTCTTCATCCAGGTGTTACAAGCTTCTCAACACTACCATTCCTTCCCTGTTGGCTTACACTGTTATATTTCTGTGAAGCGCACACGGTGCCATGAGACCGATGGCATGACCCGTTACATTCCATACGTCTACAGAAACAAACGTTTCAAAGAGAAGAGTGCTTTATTGTTGGTTGATTTTTGTACATTTCTAATGCCAAGAATTTCTTCTTTTTTTTTTTTACTGTAGTGCTACGGTCCCTTTTCTGATGTGAGAGTAGGTGTAAATGACTGTTGGAATGATCACTCTGGAGAAGAATTCTGTAGTCCAGAAAAAGTAACATCTTCACAGAACATTTGAGATTTCATAATGATGTAATGATGCTAAGTGAGGGAAAGAATTTATGTACTTTTGTCATGAAAATCTGAGTAGACTAGACATACATTTTTGTAAGGAATTGGAAAATAGTATGAATGTTGAATGTCTTTTACTGAGTGAAAAGTTCAACATTTTTCTCTACCTAAGAATCCATGATATTGCTGTATTCACATGTCATGTATATCAGTAGAATTTATTTTGTTGTTCGTATATAGTGGTAAGCTATTGGATGGATCAAACAGAAACGTCGGTTTTGGTGAACGGAAGACTGTCAGAGGTCGTCCTTTGCCGATCCCTACAGAACGAGTTGTCCTTGTCCTCATTTGTTTCCTGTGCCGTGAAGCAGACGTGGAATGCAACACGGTCTCTCCAAATACTAAAACTCAACAACTATACTCGCTAGTCGACTTTTTAAAGTTTTAGAAGAGGTTTTACGGCGCTCGCAACCTCATAAGGTCATATGAGTGCCACAAGTTTAGAGGTTTTACAAGAGAGTAACAGACATAAAAAAGAAGAAGGTGAGATAAGGACTAGTCGACTGCTAACTGCTACAATGTGTGATGTTTAGGGAAAGTCATGTCGTGAGGGTAGCTCTCGTAGAACTCTGGAAGACGTTGCTCCAACTACATCAGTACAGCACAATTGAACAGTTTTTTAAAAAACCTAAAAAACCTGTACCCAGTCTCTGTGGTGTCGCAGTCCCAG